GGACAGTCTGAGCTCCAATCAAATTGGTGATCCCGGAGCTCAGGCGATTGCCGAGGCACTCAAAGTGAACACAACGCTGACTGAGCTCTTGTAAGACACTGCCACAAAAGCGCGCGTGGGTGACTACAGGAGAGAGACAGCAAGAGTGGCTCACTGATGGGACGGGACGGACAGTCTGTGGTACAATGAAATAAGCGATGCCGCAGTTCCATCGATTGTCGAGGTGCTCAAAGTGAACAAGACACTGAAGACGCTTGAGTAAAAATTGATTGCGTAAAATGCTCGGACGGTCACGAGACTCATGCTATTGAATCATCCGACGACAACAGGTTGGACAGGAACTTCTTGTCCCGAGGTGCAATCGATGCACTGACACAAACGGGCAATACATGCATTACCTGTGGGAAAATGAGGTAAGACTTTGCGTATTCGCTTGAAGAAACAAGGCACAACACAACGGTTAGATGCATTGGCTGAAACTATTGTTGAACAGAGTCCAACCCAAGAACGAGCCGTCGCCCGCCACGTCGGCGCTGAATGCCGCTCCCGCCGCCGCAAGCATTGTGCCTCAGAGTTCAGACACTCTTGGAACTGAAATTCAGCAATTGCGCTCCGAGTTGGCTGCCAAAGATCAAGAGCTCGCGGCCAAAAATCATGAGCTCGCTGACGAAAGGCAGAAGCTCGCAATGAAAGAGCAGGAGCTCGCGACCAAAAATCATGAGCTCGGTGCAAAGGAGCAGGAGCTCGCGGTGAAGGATCAGGAGCTCGCGGCGAAGGAGCAGGAGATCGCAGGGAAGGAGCAGGAGCTCGCAGCCGCAAAGCTGGAGCTCGCTGACGAAAGACAACTACGCGCTGCAAAGGAGCAGGAGCTACAAAAGCTTCTGCTCGGAATTGCAGACAGAGAAGATTGGATCGATGTAAAGTCGCCAGCGGACGATGAATAAGCAAATGTTTGAATAAATGGAAAAGTTTCGGAACTATGGGAGCATTGTGACACTCACGTGACAAGGAACGCAAAATGCATGCGCAAACACGAAAACAGCGTACGAGTAGCAAACGAACAAGGGAAGTCAAGCGTTCCTGGGGAGAAACAGTAGTTCTAGCTGGGCTCGGACAACCAACGGAACAAACAAAAATCAAACGAAAAGCGCCGAACCAAAGTGTTCGGGTTGAGAGCAAGCGATGACAGCAGAAATTGAAAAATATGGGGCTGTTTTTTTAAAAAGGTAGAATGGCCATGTCTTTCACTCCTCTTGCATCACCTGGCTCTGTATGTGTTCGCCCCTGCCCTGCAACCCCCCGCCCGAGGGAGTAGACCATGTTTCTATGCCACTCGGTGTATCGGACGGCGCGCCCGGTCCCACTGGCAGCGGCAGGGCCGCGAGCAGTGGGTGACAATCAGCGCGGCGGCGTCACAGCAGGTCCCTGACAGCGGGCTACCGTTCCACATCGAACAATTCATCTGATCATGTATCATAGACAATGTCTGGCAGGGGTAGGAGGAGCTGGGGGATGGGGGAGCGCATGCGTGTCGACCTCCTTTGCTCTTCGCTTGGTAGACCATGCTCGCTCACTTTCGCTTCCTCTCTCGCGCGGACAGTTGATTTTACCTACCTGTGACGATGGCAGCTCGGCGCGTTGGCGGCGGGGACGATAGCGCTGCGGACAAGGCGTATGTGTCGATCGCACCCCCAGCCCCGCTCATCAACCCTGGTCCGCAGCCAGGCTATGTCTCTCTGCAGATCAACGTCGAGTTTCCTTCGTCGTTCAAGTATTCGCCAATGGCTAACGCTCTGTCCAGCCAAGAACTTGGCGCACATCGTGTCAAGCAGCGGCGACGTGCTGAAGCTCTTGAGACCGGGCGCAACATCCTGTCGACTGTCAAGAACACCGTCGTCAATCAATGGCCGAGCGATCAAACGCTTTGGAACGAGATCCTTTCGGAGACGAAGGTCACCGACGATAATGACATGACGAAACGCGCGGATGCATTGCTGACGGATCTTGGACTACGATGGCAGCGGGCAACCCGCCCTGCCGACCGTCGACGCATCCTCTCAACCATTGCACCATTCTTCCAGCTCAAGCAGCTTCAACCACACTTCCCCGGCCTCGAATATCGCGCACTGACGGCCGCTCGAAAGCACGGCAAACACAATGGTCCTGGCGTCCCGGCGGCGCACGTCGTGATTCCCAGGAACAGTCGGGCCAGCGCACATGATGAGCGAATCCTCGCGTTTGCCATGGCGACCGGTACAGCATCCCCGACCGCGTGCACTGTCGACGGTCAGCCAGTCATCTACCTCAACATGACTCTCAATCAGATCTACAAGCGCTTCCTTGCCAAGTACCCTGGCGAAGGTACCAAGCCGATTGTCTCCCGGAGCAAGTTCTATGACGTGCTGCAGTCATCGGGCGTAACGTTCGGCGAGCGTAAAGTCAAGACCGGCCTTTGCGCGACCTGCAACCGTGGCGTGACGATTTTTCGCGAAATCCTTCCGCTCCTCATTCACCAGGCGAGCTCGGCTGGCGCCATTTCCTTGGAAATGGACGAGCGCCTCTGTGCTTTTGCCACGCTCGCTGAGGGTCATGCAAGGACTATAGCGAGCTCTGCTGGGAAGATGGAGCATCACCCGCACCCGCTACATTGCGAGCTCTTCGCCTTCGGCCTCTGTCACGAGGAGCACAATTGTTTTGTCGACGGTCACAGCTCTTGCCCCGAGTGTGCCCCACTGCATGAGCTGATTCTACAGCTCAATGGCGCTCTCTCGGGCCCGAACGCTGACCTCCTCAAACTGGCCTGCAACGACCTCGTCCTTGTGAATGCCCACCATTGGCGCGCGGCCGCTGCCAAGGCCGATTTCAACGAGGCCCTCGAGAATCTTTCGGAAGGTCGCCTGATGATCGTGGTGGATTTCAAGGTCCGTTTTTTTGCGAGCGATGTTGACCATGATACCTCATTTGCACGTGACTCACCAACCGCGCTAAAGATAGATGAAGGTGCTCCAGAGTTCTGCTCGAGAAGTGCAAGTTGACTTCTTTGGCAAGCATGGCTTTCCGTATCATGGTGCTGTGCTCCTCTGGATGCATCAGGGGGTGCGGCACATGCATATGCTTGATCACTGGAGCGATGTTAATCGGCAGGATTGGGTGTTTGTCGGCCATGCGCTTGAGGCCATCGCTGGCTTCACTCGGTCAATGATTCAACACAAGAGGATGCCGCCGTAAGTGCTTATGTGAGGCAGGTGATGGACGAGTGTGTGTGCGGTGATTTACTTGTGTTTTTTTCCGAGCGAGCAGAATCACATCGGCCGCGCTTTACAGCGACAACGGCGCTTCGTATTCCAACAGCGCTTTGCCTGTGTGGATTCAGCGCCGCTTCAAGTTACTGTCCGGGTTTCCGATCACAGATATTCACCACTTTGAGCCCGGCGAGGGTACGTTCATGTGCAGGTGTTTATTGACTGCTTCTCCGCTCATTGATTCCATAGGCAAGTCCTACTGTGACACGCACTTTGCAGCAATCACGCACGCGCGCATGCACTGGATCCGTAACGGGAACGACCTCATGACCGGGCTGGATGTGGAACAAGGTTCGTGCATGACGCAATCTCAAATGTGTGCCTGCGTTTCTGACTCTCTTACGACTCAGCCGCACAGAGTGTGACCAATACAACTGTCATGGGCATCAACTTCTCGCCCTCAGTTCTCAAGCACTACGGCAACAAGTCACCCGTGTCGCCAATCCCCGGTCTCGATGCGGCGATGCACATTGTCATCACCGACGCTGGCCTTGAAGCATACCGCATTCGCGATTACCGCTTGCTTGCCACATGGAACGCAACCGATCATCCCGACCCGTTTCTTCCCACGTTCGGCGCAAGCGTGAGCCGGGCTGGCATCGTCCTTTGGAGCGCCGATTCTGAAACTCACGAAGCGCTTCGTGCCGACCGCGACGCTGCCCTGGTCGACCACTGCGACTTTCACTCGCCGCCGTCGTCGATAATCAGCCACGAACCGCATACACCACCACACAACAGTCAGCAACAGCCAACCGCCCCTGGATCGCCTACGTTGCTTCGGGCGTTCACGCAAGCTACACCGCTGCATCGGAACTGTGTTTGTCCATCAGCATGCGGCGCAAAGTTCAGCTCGCCTGACGACTTGAGAGCGCACACACGGATGGCACATCGCTCTGCGAGCCCCACGACCATCGCCGCTGCCGCTTTTGCAGCCGCCGCCGACGCAGCCAAACCCCCTTCCGATGTCGAGGACGCGAACGAGGACGATGAGGATGACGAGGACGATGTCAACGACCACGACGAAGAGGATGACGAGGACGATGTCAACGACCACGACGAAGAGGATGACGAGGACGAGGACGAGGAGGATGAATATGACGACGACGACTCCGATGACGATGATCACAACCACGACGAGGAGGACAGCCGTCTGCGGGCTTCAATCTATCCCCGGGATGTCCCGTTGTACGCACAGGCCACGCTCCTCCAGTACACAGCTCGCACGGGTCGGTCATTATCCGTGCAGCGAAGTTGGACAGCGGAAGAACGGACAAGCTTGGCAGCGCGACTCGAAGTTACTCCGGGCTACGCGCTCATCACGGCCCCTCGCCGCCCGCGTCTCCCAACCGCGATGACGATTTTCTTGCGGCAGCGATTCGACGAGGGTATTGATGATCCCAACCGCCGGCACGACAACAGTGTGTACAAAGACTTTGTCCAGCGTTTTGGAGTCGTCCAGTCTGCGTTGCACTCTGTCACCCAGCAGCGCATCAAGTCGCTGTTTGTTTCCTGGGCGAATCGACGCGACTCTCAAGCTGTCAACAACCGCAGTCCAGCAGAAGTACTCTCACCATCAGCGGCAGCACCGCGAGGGCGCAAACGACGGCGTCAGAACGACGAGGATATCTTCTTCCGCGCTGACCCGCACAACGATCTCGATGAGGCAGCAGACAACGAGCACACGTCTCTGCCCTCGTTTGACGACGAGGGCGACTACGAACCCCAAGCAAGGTTTGTCTCAGTCTCTAGTTCGCAACGCCGAGTCCGAACTCGCAGCAGTCAACAATCTCCACCCCCAGACGATAGTGATTAATTGTGCGAAGAATAAAAGAGTTACATTTGGCGGCCTCAGGCCAAGGGGAGGTTGGGAGGTTGGGTGGTTGGTGAAAAAGTTGGTGTAGTAGCTGCGGGTGGCGGAATCGTCCCCTATTTCGGACCAATTATTGTTGGACAAGGTGAATCTGCAACAGAATGTAGCAGCGGCGCAGATCAGGGGGCCGGAAAATAGCACCAGCGAGTCAGTGAGCAAAACGACCGCGACACAACGGCTCCTTCACTCGCTCCCCTCTGCCGCCCAACGCACTTCCGGTGCGCCCCCGACCCTCGATCACACTGATGGCATGGTGTACACCCCACAGTCAGCGCCCCCAGCGACGGAAAGCGATGTAGGACATGTGCTGGATATGAACGACATATTTTGGGGCCATAAAAAATAAAAAATAAAAAATAAAAAATAAAAAATAAAAAATAAAAATAAAAAATAAAAAATAAAAAATAAAAAAAATAAAAAAAAAATAAAAATAAAAAAAACTGTTCAACGCTCAAGTCAGACAGGAACATGGCTGCTGTGAAAATCGCACATCCAACCCGCAAGGAATCTGATACTGTTGGAATTGTGTCTCTTTGACTGACAAAGCGGGGGGGGGGACGCGGCGAGGGGAAGGGAACTGCTTTTAGTAGAAAAGTAAAAACAAGTTACAACCTTTCGCAAAAAAAAAAAAAAAAAAACCTACGCTCACGCAGCAAGAATCGTCATGGAGACCCTTCCAAGACCTGCAAAAGCATCCGATTGAACATTTCGTAGGTGGTGAACGTGATGGCACCGGCAGGCACCACTCGAAGCAGATTGGTAAACAGCCCAGCGTAAAGCGCCCGAACACCCGACTCTTGGACTGTCAGCCGAACGGTGTGAATCACGCCGTGGTACTTTGGCGGGGATTGCGATTGGTTTTGTAACCGTGCGCGCACAACCTACGAGAAAGGAATGGGGTTCAGTGCACAAGGAACCAGCAAGATAATTTCAAAAACAGAAAACCCCCTCCCTCGAAGCACATACCTCGTGTGGATACCAAATGACACTAGCGACAATTTTCGATAAAGCAGCCGAGGTCATGAGCTGCACAGGACCGAGCGGGTGATCGGGATTTTGCGCTGCGCAAAAAAACGACAAAGCAACCACAAGTGATTAGACCCAAAAAAAAAAAAAAAAAACATCGACGAGTTCACCCGTTCTTCAGGACATACCAAGAAAATAGCCTTTTAGCCGTTCGTAGAGTGGGAATTGGATGCCAACGTGTACAACACCAAGCAAAGACGGCACCAGACCCTTGTAAAAGCCGCGAACGCCTTCGGTTCGGGCAATCGTTTGGAAGGCATGTAGCAAGCCGTTGTATTGGTGATGGGAGGCAGAGTTTTGTGTCTGTGGGCATGGAAAAGGGTAATTGGGAAGATGAGATGACTGCATACAAAGAAATGTAACGATTCAAAACAGGAGGTCGTACCATCATCCGTGTTTTAACAACCCACAATGGATTCGTTGCCAGCGCGCAGGAGGCTCCAGCGAGCATGGCACTAGACGCATGCACCATCGGCGAGAGTACCGACGTTCCTGAAACGATAACGCAATCGGATGAGAGGGCAGCTCTGGAAGCGCAAAGTTTGCAGCAAAAAAAAAAGAAACAAAACAAACCTACCCAGCATGTTGGCCACGGGATGCTTGAGCGTTTCATATGTCGTGAAATAGATTGCCCAGTTAGGCAGCAGCCCCATCAAGGTTGGCGACAACCCGCTGTACAATTTGAGCGCTCCTTCTGTTCGCACAATCTGGAGGAAGGTTGCTGGAAAAAAAGGCAAAAGTAAACGTTAGCATTGGCCCGTTGTTTCGACCAACGCAAAAAAAAAAAAAAAAAAAAAAAAAAAAGGACGACAAGTCACGATCTCCCATCGATGTATCAGCTTGTGCTTTGTGCATGTTACCTCTCAACCCTCTTGTTTGCGATGAGACCTGCTCAGAAAAAGTACACAAAGTCAGCAAAAAAGCCCAACCAACCAGCAAATCGCAGCGTTCATGCAAGATCAGCCTTTGCTGCAACAATGTCTAGCATCGTGGTACCTGCATGCGAGTCTTGATGACGTCGAGCGGCGTTGTGACAAGGGCTGCGACTGCACCGCTGCCCGCGCCCGACAGAATATGCGCCGCAGTGCGCGCAGGGGACGCGCTCGAGGCTCCCGCGTCGGATCGCCCTGCTGCACCTGCAGTTGCTCCTGTTACCGAGGAAGTGGCTGTGGCTGAGGCACGGGCTCGGGGTGGCGCGACCACCGCGTTGCCTGGTCCCGCGATGGGCACCTCCGTGCTGTCGCTTCCATTGCCTCCATCGCTTCCATTGCCATTGCCCAGCCACCGATGTGGATCGACTGACTCTGCGACGGCGAACGCGGCAATCATCGGACGAGTCTTCAGTCCTACTACCACTGATGGTGATGCTAGTGACGATAGTGATGATAGTGATGGTGATGATGGCGATGACGGCGATATCGAGGCGCTCGGTCGTGTCTCGTGCTGCTGCTGCTGGTGACCACAAGCCACACTGAATCTGGGACTGCTGCGACGCCCAGCCCACCAGCGTGCGACGGGGTTGTGGCGATCTGCAGCATGCCCACCGAGACGGCTGTGCAGCGTGTGCGGTTGTGGTTGCTGCTGCATGAGTGAACTTCGATGACAGCCAACGTGCAACAATGGAGACCGCTGTCTTGACGGGAGGATGATGTTTACAAAAGGGTGGATTGAGATTGTGCTGAAACGGAACAAAACGAAGAAAAGAAAGTGACCACGAAAAAGGGCGGAACAGGAAAGACTCAGAAATGGACTGAAAAGACTGGATCGCTCGAGGTCGAGCTCAAGTGCAGCTGCTCTGCCTCACTCACCGCGAATCAATCCATCTGGTGGTGGTGGTGGTGGTGGTGGTGGTGGTGGTTCGATTACAGTTGGCAGAGTAGCGTCGAGCGCGAGAGCACAGAGACGTGCACAACTTGGCCAACTGAATGCCGGGATTCAGCTTTGAAACCGAAACCCCAATTTCTAAGACGGCGCTGCTACGACAACTCAGAATGGCTGTCTCAGCACCAGCTAAATGACAATGAAAGCGCCGCATGTACTGCAATTGAGCTGTCTTGTCATGGTGGTGTTTGTGCTTGGCTGGCTGGAACGAACAAGGACAACGAAAAACCAATGTCGACCAGTCTACTGCATTGCCCTGCACACAATAATCAAACAAAGCAACCTCATTCAAACTGTTCTCAGCAACCAACATCCATCTGTGAAAAAGAAGGCAAGCTCGAGATGGAAAAAAAAAGCAGAGCGAAAATCGAAAAGAATCAAAAAACCAAAAAACAAAAACAACTTGGCTAACTTTGGTTTCCAGTCAGAGCGTCCTCTCTTCCTTCGGTGCGTACAACAGCCCTGCCGACCGCCGACCCATCCGCTTGCTCCATCCGATGCAGACTGTTGTGTTACATGCGATTCAGCCGTAGGAACGGGGTGGTGCAATGCGAAGAGCGCGAGAACGGGGCCGGCAAAGTTGGCGGGAGGGAGATTGCTGGGGTCAATCCAACTACACGGTTGATTTTGGCAGCTCGTGTCGCCGTACAGCGAACGCCTGCATCCCGGCGACCCCGGATTACCGTGTGTGTCGATCAGTGCGACCCGTTGCTCCCTGCAGAGGGTCTTGCCCGGCCGCCTGACGAACGGAGGACGGCTAGGGCGAGAGATTGTGGACTTTTTTTTTTTTTTTTTTCTTTGTTCCCTTTCTTTTTTTTCTCGTCCTTTCGATGCTTGCTGCCCTGTTCTCACCGTTCTCCCGCCCCCTGCTCCTGTGTCGATTGCAACTCCAGCAGCTTAACAAATGGTTCGCACCAGTGTCTTGAGCGACGCGCTCGTCAGCATTCGCAACGCTGAGGCCAAGGGCAAGCGACAGGTTCTCCTCCGCCCCGCCTCGAAGGTCATTGTCAAGTTCCTCACCGTCATGATGAAGCACGGTGAGTCATTTCGCAGTCCTCTGGCTCTCTTGTCCTTGTTGTTCGAGCGAGCGCGCCACCAGCCAAAGAAGACTTTGTGTTGTAGAGGTTTTTTTTTTTCTTGTTTGATCGCGCATGTGTCTCACCATTTTGATTTTTATCCTGCTTTTTTTCTGCTTAGGCTACATCGGCGAGTTCGAGATCGTCGACGACCACCGCTCTGGCAAGATCGTCGTCGAGCTGACCGGCCGCATCAACAAGTGCGGTGTCATCAGCCCCCGCTTCGATGTCACTCTTACCGAGCTTGACAAGTGGACCAGCCGGCTGCTCCCCTCGCGCCAATTCGGCTACATTGTTCTGACCACCTCGGCCGGTATCATGGATCACGATGAGGCCAAGAGGAAGCACACTGGTGGCAAGATCCTCGGCTTCTTCTACTGAGCGTCTTGTCTGGGCGACAGCTCGTTTTGAAGGGGTGGCGCTCGCTCCCGTCCAATCCTTCTTTTCCTGACTGTCACTAATCCCGGTTCCCGTATTGTCCCCCCTTTTCCCCCTATTCCCCCAAAGCTTCTCCATTGAGAGGAATCCCTGTTTTTTCGCTTCAGCGCACAACTGTCCTGTTCTGGCGTGTTGTTTTTATTTTGGTATCTTCAAACCACTTGCTGTTTCGAATAATACGATGTCCCTACATGATTTGAGTGTGAAATTTTTGAAGTGCGGAGAGATGGAGCGGTGGAAAGGGCAACGAGCTGGTTTTTTCGATTGAAGTGCGCCGCAAAGCAGAATTCATTCAGTGCTCTGTCCAAGCTGCTTTTGCATCCTCAGTGTGGGCAAGCAGGTTGTTGCCTGACAGGTTACACGAAGGCTTCGATAGATTGAGACGATTTTCAGGTGCAAGTGTGTCGGAAGGTTTCGTTCATCCCAAACGCTCCAATTTTAGATCCAAAACACTCGCGTAAGTCAATCCATCCATCTTTGCGTATATATTATACGTATAATGAACCTGGAAGATCCGCAAGAAGCCAAATCAAAGGCTTGACTGGGAGTTGATTTTTTGAGCGCTCAACATTGTCCAACTTTTCCACGAACAGCACGTACTTGGACCAATCCAATGGATGACATGGAAGTCTACTTTTGTCCTAACATCTACGTTTATTTCTGAAAGAATTCGGCGAGTTACCATGGGAGGTGCCACACCTCAAATCTGCGAAATTGATCACAAACGTTTGGGCGCGGGCACGCCTCAACACCATTGCACTTTTTTTAATCAATGTTTCATTGAGAGTACGATAGCTTCAGTATGTTGATGAAGTTGGGCCCGAGGAGCACGGTGGATTTCATATGGCACCATCCATGCGCGGCCATTTTTCGCTTGGCAATGTTTTCCGCAGAACCGCTTCCCCCCCCCCCTCAATGCAGGTCCACCGGCTCAGTCTCGCAACATCCCTCAAGTCCTTTGCGCTCATTCTCTGCCATTCGGGGTGCAGCATTTTCCAAACACGTTCTGACTCTGACCGGCTTGCTTGCTTGACAAACCTGGCTCCAATTCGAAACCAAATCCAGCAGTTAGTTTGCTGTTTCAACATGAATCTCAGTAAGACATTGCCAGTCCTCATTTTTCCTCTTCTTCTTCTCTTATTTTTTTTTTATTATCTCTTCTTTTCTTCTCAGCTCTTTTCGAAAATGTCACAGCAAATCGAAATGAGTTCGACGGGCGGCAAGTCAACCGCTCGTGCGAATATGAAGCGCCCGGCGCTGCCGATGCGCGCCAAAGAGCGGCTGAGCCCGCTGTTCTGGTTCCCGTACAACGTCAACGATGTGACCACGCGCGTGATTGGCCTGCTTGTGGCTGGGCTCTCCATCATGATCTGGGCGGCCGTCATCTACAACCCTGACAACATGTGGCCGCGCTGGATTGCGTGCGGCATTCTCGGCGACTTTTGCCTCCGGTAACACCCCCTCCCCAACCTTGACCAATCGCTGTGTCTGTGCCCCTTTGCCCTTTGTCAGCTGTACTAGCTGCCCATCTTTCCAAGCTGACTGACGAGAGCGACAAACTCAAAAAGAGGGCAGAACACAAAAACCAAAAAAAAACAAAATTCAAAAAAAAAAATTCAAAAAAGATGCGAATCGAACTGTCAGATTAATCAGAAAGCGGGCTTGTGAGATCAGCCGAGTCACCTGCATCACCCTGCATATGAGTGGGTGTGTGTGTGTGTGTGTGGGCAATCTAAAGAAGTGGCACGTCAGCCCAGCGGGCAGAGTGAGATGAGAGAAGCTGCTCTGACTCCACGCTTCGTTCGCAATGCGAAAAGTGAGCTTTTTTTTGTTGTTTTCGGTTTTTTTCATTGAGTCACACACCTTCTTCACCCCCAACAACTCCCACCCGACAAAAAGCGCAACAAAACCCTCCAAAAGTCGTATTCTCACTGCGATGACTCATTGCCAGATTCATTGGTGGCGCTCGCATCTCGCCGATCGGCGCCGTTGCCGAGTGGATTGCGCTCTGGTTTCCGCCCAAGCCCATCCCTGCTGCGCCCAAGCAGTTTGCCGTGTTCTGCGGCATCATGTTCTCGGCTGGTGGCGTGATTGCCTTCTTTGCTCCTGATCCAAGCCCGACCGCCGGCGCGATTCTGTTTGGTCTGCTGACGGGTGCTGCCGCGCTCGAGGGCCTGTTTGGCGTTTGTTTGGGGTGCATCATGTTTAGCTGGCTCATCCAGTTTGGCATCATGCCCAAGCGGATTAACGCCAACAGCGAGCAGGTCTGGGACGAGCAAAACCGATTCGCCATTGAGGCCGATCGCCGCTTGAAAGAGGGCAACCCCGTCGAGAAGGTCATCTACGACCCGCAGGGCGAGGACTCGGACCGCACCGTGCCGTACGTCTACAAGCAAAAGACCGACGAGATGAAGTGGGAGGACTTCCATGCCATCTGCCACATGCACATTCACTACTTTTCCATCCCCATGAGCTTGGCTGGCCTGGCTGCAGTTTGGTACGAATCGCTTGTTGATTGGGGGATGACAGGTTCGATAGACTTCCTCTGACCGTGCATTGCATGTTCTTGTGGCCTCGTTCTGGAGAACAGGCAGCTCGTGGACGGACTCATGCTGGCAAGCAACACTCCGGTTGGCGTGATTGTCATTGACGAAGGCGTCATCAACGGCAATTACACCGACTCCACTCTCTGGCGCGGAATTGGTGTCTTTTCTGGCGTCATTGGCGGCATTTTCGCAATCCTGTACCTGCTCAAGCTGATGATGTTCCCCCGCAAGATTGTCAAGGAATGGAAGCACCCCATCAAGTCCAACTTCTTTTCCACCGCGACCATCACCCTCCTCTTGTATGCCTTCATCGTGGCTCGATTCAGCTTGGATTTTGCCAAGGTTTTGTTTGTACGTTGTTTTTTTTCTTCCCGCTTGTGCTCCTCCCTTGGTTGTGCGAATGTGGCAGCCCTCAAAACTCAAAACTGACCAAACCAACTTGCATTTTTGGTGCCTTGAAAGTGGATTGGCGCCCCGCTGCAGCTCTTCCAGGCGGTGGTCATCACGGCCCGTTGGATTACTCGCTCGCAGTCAAAGTACACTGTCAACCCTTCATGGATGATGCCTGCCGTCGGCAATCTTGTGGCTGCGTTTGTCGGTCCGGCCCTTTCTGCCGACTACCGCGAGGCTGGCTGGCTGTGGTTTAGCTTTGCCTTCCTCATGTATATCGCCCTGTTCACCTTGACGCTGCAGCGTGCCATGTTTGGCCAGCCGATCGAAGACAGGATGCGTCCTCTGACGTTCATCTGGGTCGCCGCGCCCGCGGTTGCCTTTGTTGCCTACCTGCAGCTCAGCGGCACCTTTGACATGTTTGCCCGATTCCTCTTCTTTGACATGCTGGTCACCTTCTTTGTGCTGACGTGGTGCTTCTTCAGCTCGTACTATGGTCGCAACCTGTTTGAGGTTGGCTACTGGGCGTACGTCTTTCCTCTCGACACGGTTGCTTTGGCCACTGTTGTCTACTGGGCTCAGTTCCACACCAATCTGACTCTGGTAAGAAGTGCATACCCCGTTGGCGCTCGGCGTGTGCTGCAATGATGCAGCTCTGTTTGTGTTCCTGCGAGATAGCTCCATCCAATGCTCACCTTGCTCCGTTTGAACACATTGTCTAGGCCATGGCTACCATCGCCCTCATCTTGGTCAACACGGCTGCCGTTGTCGTCTTGGCAAACACGTTTGCATCCCTGCTGCGCCGCCGCCTGTTTGTTCCCGAGGACAAGTGGGGACCGCTGTCGTTCACCAAGATTCTGCACTTTGCCATTCGCGAGGCAGTTGTCGACATTCTCAAGCATGCCGAGGTCATCCACAACGAAGGCTCGCAGAAGCCCGCCGCCGACGAAGACATCCACGCCTTCCGCTACCGCTTTGAGCGCATCCAGCGCATCTACGAGATCCACTCGACACACGAGGACCAGGTGCTCTTCCCCATGCTCCGCCAATGGTTCCCTACCATCACCTTCTCGCAGGGCGAGGAACACGCGAACGAGTCGCTGCACTTTACGAACATTGCTCAGGTTATCGGCACTGGCGATGCTGGACGCAAGGCCTTTGACGAGTTGGATGCCGCCGGCAAGCTCGAGGTAAAAGATATGTGTAGAGTGGATTTTGGTGGCGCGGGGGGAGGACGAGGGGAGGGGTGAAGAGGTGCTTGCACAAGGTTTTGAAACTGACGCGGTAAATGTTGCCCTTGTTAGCGCTGCCGAGCTGCCGCTGCCATGATGAAAGAGCTTGCTGTTGAGACCCTCAACCACATGGACAACGAGGAGATCAACCTCTCGCCCATCATCCGCAAGCACGTGTCGACCAAGATGCAAAAGCAGATGATGAGCACCATGTTTGCACTCAACACCCCTGTCGAGCTCAAGTTCATGTTTGGCTTTGCCCTGGAGTTTGCGCCCTTCCACGGCCAGCGAGCTCGCTTTGTGCACTGCCTGCGCTGGGCCTTCCCCGAGCGCATGCAGCTGTACGGCCAATGGATGTACGAGGCGACCTCTCCTCTGACCTGGAGCCGCCTCATGACTGAAGTTCCCGACATGGCTCCTCGCCACACCGACAACTGGCTTCCTTACTACTAGTCCTGCTTGGCTTTTGTTCCAGGGTGTTTTGTTTTGTTTGTTGTACTCGCAGTATGGCGTGTGTCTGAATTCCAAAACCAAGACAATTTTGCAACTCCAGTTGTACGTCGGTTTTGGAAACGTAGTCGTTCTTGGAATACAGCTGCAAGCCCAGATTGAAAGCGAGATGATGATGACGAAAAGTCATAAACACATGTTTTCTGTTTAATTTCCATTCTAATTCTGAGATTCTCAGTCTCTTTTTATTTTTGATTCTACGATGAGCTGGAAAGCAAGCCTTCCTCGCGTTGTTCGTGAGCTTCGCATTCACCTTTGCCAGACGTCGCCCAGCTCGCAAGGCGCACGGTAAGCGAAACGAACAAGAGCAAATCAAGAACCAACAGAAAGCGAAGCAAATGAAAACGAAATTTAGTGAACAGAAGAGTAACCGATAAAAATAAAGCAAACCGAAACAAAACACTATACCGATTGCTAACTAACTTTTGGTTTCTTTATCTTTCATCTCTCTCTCTCTCTCTCTCTCTCTCTTCACTGCCCTCCCCCCTCCCACGCGCCCACCCCCTCCTCCACGTTATCTCATTTGACTCTGACTGACTTGGGTTGGATGATGGACAGGGACTTTGTGACCAAGCAGTACGCCGAGCTCAAGCAGGCGCATCCGACGCTGCCGATCCTGGTCCGCGAGGCTGCTGGCATTGAGCCCAGGGTATACGCTCGCTATGGTAAGCGCAGCATTGTAGCTATTGTGATATGGAGAGAGAGAGAGAGAGAGAGAGAGAGAGAGAGAGAGACAGAGCTGTAGTGCCAATGCAAGTGTCAATGCACGAGCCATACAAGTCCAGCACAATACAATGAGATCTGCCACGATGGGTGTGCTCCCAAAGTGCAGTTGTCATGCACGAGAGTGACTCGGTGACACCAAGTGGGGCATTCGTTTGGTATCGTGCACGGACGATCGAAACCGAGTTACGACCCTTCGTTCACTCACTCACTCACTCACGAACATCGTCAGCATGATGCACTCGTACTGGGCGATTTGTACAACAAAGCTGTGGTTTTCATCGGCATTCCCCACTTTCACTGGCTTCACATTGGCTCCACATTCACGCTCACCGTTTTTTCGTACTCTGTTTTTGCTTGTCGTATCGCAGCGTTCGGACAAGAGGCAAAAGCCGATCTCTCCAACCTAACCTCACAGCAAGTTCTGGACTCCATCCAAGGACTCTACCAACACGGCGAGAAGCTGGCCACTCAAGCCAAGGCAAACTAAAACCAGGACAAATGTTCTTTTTGTGCTGTTTTTACATTTGCTTCCATCGGTGCAGCGTGCTGCGCTTTCCGCCCGTCGTGCCGTTTCCCCCAATACATTCATTTCTGTGTCCTTCCTGTTGTTTCCAAGCTGTTGAAGTGGAGTTGATGTCGCTGTTATTGACGTTGAAAAGCTTTTCTCAGAATGAAACTTTTGCTCAAATCCAACCAGCCCATCCCCCTTGTGTGACTGTTCCATGATTTATTTATTTTTTCCTCTGCCTCATTCTCAGTCATTGTTTTCACAGTAACGACACACACAAAATGGCGACGAATGCGGCTGCCGACAAGTACTCTGTGCTGCTTCCGACGTACAACGAGCGCGAGAATCTGCCGCTGATCGTGTGGCTGCTCGTCCGCGCCTTCGAAGCCCAGTTGCGTATTCAACATCACCCCCAATGACAAACCGTTCATCTGACCTGGCGCGAGTCGGGGGGGGGATCAGGAGGGCCCATCCACTCACTCACTTCACTCACTCACTTCACTCACTCACTTCACTTCACTCACTCACTCACTCACTCACTCACTTTGGTGCTTGTTCATTGCGTTTCTTCGATGTTTTGCAGCAAGTTCAATTACGAGATCATCATCATTGACGACAACAGCCCCGACCAGACCATCGAGGTCGCAAAGCAGCTCCAGTCGCTCTACGGCGAGCATCACATTGTAAAAACGTCCTAAAATCTCATACTGACAACGCTGCATAGGAAGGCTCTATACTTGGATTATTGATGGTTGGCTATGGTGGTGTTGCTATTGGGACAATATTAGGTGCTGCGACCACGTCCTGGAAAACTCGGCCTCGGTACTGCATCAAAAAACGAAGAAAAAAAAAACTCTGTTTTGCTCAGACAGAGCTTTTGGTTCTCATTTCTCATCGTGATGGATCACTTTATGTAGGCACGGCGTACATTCACGGCATCAAGCACGCGACGGGCAACTTTATCATCATCATGGACGCCGATATGTCCCACCATGTAAGGTTTTCAAACAGCTGAACTCTCGTTGCTCTGCGTTACGAGTTAGTGCTCACATGGCTGTTGTCGTTACCATTGCCAATCGTCCAGCCCAAGTTCATCCCGCAATTCATCGCGTTCGTAGTCCTGCTAGATACCGCTATCTCGACCGCCTCGAATGTTTCGCTAAAACTCTTCTTCTTTGCTTCGTTTGTGTTTCTGCCTTTTGTGTTTCTGTACGCAGGAAGCAGCGTGAGAAGGATTACGACATTGTCTCGGGCACCCGCTACATGGGCGACGGCGGTGCCTTTGGTTGGGATGTCAGCCGAAAGCTGATCAGGTGAATCTTCACGCTCAAACTTTCGCTGCTGTAACATCGCTCACAGCTCTAACTTCCGAGCTTGTCTCCCTCGTTCTCTCTCACAGCCGCACTGCAAACTACCTGGCACAAACTCTGCTGCGCCCCAACGCCAGCGACTTGACGGGCAGCTTCCGGTAAACCCAAACGAAAAAAGCGCGTACTTGAGTGGTCAAAACCGACTCGCTCATGCTTGTGCTGACCTTCTTGCAAATCTCATCCTGTTGCTCAGACTCTACAAGAAGGAGGTTCTCGCTCGTCTCATGGAAGAGTGCGTGTCCAAGGGCTACGTCTTCCAAATGGAAATGATTGTTCGTGCTCGCCTTCTTGGATTTACTCTTGCCGAGGTAGGCGTGTGCGCTTTTTGTTTGTTTTGTTTTGTTTTGTTTTGTTTTGATACGCCATTGAAAGGTGTTGCATCAAGTCCTGGGATGCTCAACCCTTTCATTTCCTTACAGGTGCCAATCTCTTTCGTGGATCGCGTCTACGGCGAATCCAAGCTTGGTGGCATGGAAGTGGTCACATACGCCGAAGGCTTGATGTACCTGTTTGCCAACACTTGATTGGACAAACATGAGTTTCGTGACTGTGTGTGTGGTTGTCAACTCGACCTGAAACGCATTTTGCTGCAATGTCATGCATTGGGTCTTCCTCCTCCTCCAACCGCGAAAAACAAATTCAACGCTTTCAAAACAATGAGATTCATTCTACGACGCGGAACTTGGAACATAGATCATTCAAACATGCAGCGCAACAGGTCATAACGAGAGACTTTTGTGGGACACAAAATTTCAGTCCTTGAGGTGCCCTGTCTTTCGCAGCGTTGTCTCGGCCAGTTCAATTTCGTCTTCCACGACCTGTACGATCAAAGCAATTCGGTAGGTCGGGAGACGACGGGTGAGAAGCTTTGAATGATACGATCCAACCACAACACTTTAAAATTCTACAAATACTCACCAGCGTGTAATCGGTCAAGAAGGTGCTCATGTAGTAAATATGAACTCCGTTATCTGCCAGCGGCTCGGCAAACTGGGCAACGATACCACTCTCCTCTGTCTCCCAGAAAACACAAAAGTCAGACTCGCGGTTTGAATCTACAATGAATGAACAAGCTCTCGTGCCCCTCGCCCCTCCTCCAAAACAAAAATACTCACCAAAGCCAAGCGGGCCATCGTAACATTGAATAACACGGTAAGGAACGGCACTCTTGTTGCAGGTCGAGGGTAGCCGCGCGAGCGATTCTTCGTCCAACACAAGCGAGATGGTGTTATCGACCAGGGCGAACGAGAAAAAGTGCCGCCTGCCAACACAATGAACAACAGGAAAACAGAAGTGCCCAAAAAGTGAGAGCAAACGCTCCAACTTTGAACAAAAGCCAACATTGCTCGCAAGAGACTTTTACATTGGATCATCGTTCTCCGCCGAGTCCTTCTCTTCGCTGTACAGCATGAGCTCAATCAGAGTAAGAGCCACGCTGGACAGTTGATCGCGTGGAACGCATGCCAAGTAAACATGCTTGTCGTGCACAATCACTGGATGGATCTTTTTGGCCTCGGGTGCTGCAGCCGCGGGAAGAACGGCTTCTTCGCTCTGAACGGCGGAAGCCACCGTTGTCGTGTCGCTCTTCTTGACGAGACTGTTGCCAAACTCGTCGTAATCGTCACCAGTGTGCGAATCGTCAAACACCTTGTAGTTTTTCGACAAGACAATGACAGCGGCCTCCAGCAAGCGCTCCGGCACCATGATAAAGTCGTTTTGGTAGGTCGACAGGTAGAAGATGGTAATGTTTGCCTCTGCCAGCGGCTTTGTGACGGATTTGACGATACCAGTCTTGTCTGCAAGATTGGATTTGAGTTAGTTACTCGAGAATTCGAGAAGCACGACAAACAACAAACGATCAACACGCACTAATCCAGTCAGCGGGACCAATGTCGCCTTCGCACAACTGCAAGAGCCGCCAGGTGTCCTTTGAGACGGAGAGAGTGTCGGTTTGCGGGAGAGCTGCCAACACACAAAACATCACTGAGGTAAGTTTCCACGACCCGCTTGACCTCAAACTGAAAAAACTACCCGATCTTGCCTCAAAAACTGCAATACATGTTCACGATGAACGCATCCTTACTCTTGTATTGCGCATCGTCGATGATGAGCGTGTACTCGTCCTTGGTCGCAGTGATGCAGAAAAAGTCGTCATTCCTGCCATAATTCCAAGCGCATCAAAAAGCAGCATTGGTGTTGAGAGTGAGTGCTTTTGGTTTGCCAGCAACGTGTTTGAGTGGTTCCACTGAGGCCTGGTAACGGCAAGAGGGTTTGTGCAATGATAGCAATGACCCCTTCAGTAAGCCGTTTTTGTCTCCGTCACTCCCATCCTCGCTCTGTCGCCATCGCACCGTGCTTCGTTCTGCCGGATCTCGCGTCGCTCGGTCGCGAGTGCGCGGCTGGACGACCCTGCGTTGCCCGACCGCGGCAATTGCAGCATGGGCCAAATAGCCGGCAAACCACTTCACTCTTTCGCCCCCCCCCTCGCTCACTCACTGACTCTCAAAGCGCCAAGAGTGCGGAACTCACGTTGGGTAGAATGCAATGCGGAGGAGCGGATGGGCAAAGTCGCGGATGGAGCCGCGCGGTATGCTCGCGACGCGGACACGCTGCGGCAGAATGTACAACTCCATTTTGGCGGGAAAGGAGAACTGAAGAATGGACTGATTTTGGGGATTGGAGTGGTGGGAAAACTAGATCGAATATCAGTGGAGATGGAAATTACAGCTGTAGAGAGAGGGAGAGCAAGCGGAAGGCGGGGGAGGCGGGGGGGGGAGTTAGAGAGGGAACGAGTGGGAAGCGAGGTAGAGGAGGAAACGGGTAAACAGAAGCTCAGAGATGCGATCAACATTGAGAGCCGGGTTAAGTCATCCGATGGGTCACTCTGAACGAGCTTTGAGATTGGGATTTGGATTAGGAGGCGGCGGGGCGGGGGGTTGGAGCGAGATGAGAAGGGGAGATGGAAAGAGCGCGGTGCTGTGGCCTGTTTCGCTGAATTGACAGCAATCACATGTGCGTTTGTTGTTATTTGTTGTTGTTTATCGACGATGCGACACACAGTTGATATCACAGCCACAATGGAACAGGGGAGAGGTGCGGTTGGCTGGCTGGCTGGTTGGTTCAAGAGGAAGCAATCTCCTTGATCTTGGCTGAAACAGTCGTGTCGATCTGCTTGCTCTGGTCGTCGAACGCCTTGCCAACCTGCACCAATAAATAAAGAAATCAAAAAGCGCGCGTTGTGTGGTAAGAATTCGTACCACGCAACACTAAAACTACATGATGGCAGCACTGCAACGAATGCAAAAACAAATGGGGACAAAAACGTACGTCTTTTTCAAAGCGGAAAACCTCGCTCGTGGAAACGCCAGACTTCTTGGCGTCCGTGATGGCTTTGGCGCGGACACGGCGCAGACGAATCTTGTACTCTTCACCCTGCTCGCGAGCCATCTTGGTGAGCTTTTCTCGGAACTCTTGCGTCATTCTACAACAGCAACGAAGAAGCAGGTTGGCGAGTTTGTGAGCAAGAAAGGATGGAATCTCGGCGCTGCGCAGCTCAAACTCAATCCATTGCAACAGCACCACAGCTTAAAAAAAACCATGCGTAGCCACGAATGGTAGGTGCTTGCAGAGTAAGCAACAAACCGCTGCTGCGACGACGTACTTTGGAATGACACACTTGACAAACTTGCCATCGCGAACTGGGTTGATGTTCAGGTCTGCCTCACGGATGGCGCGCTCGATATCGTCGAGAACCTGGGACAGGCGTCAAACCAAGCAGCGCAGCAGCAATAGGTAGACGTTAGGTGCCAAGAACAGAACCCAGCTCGCAAACAATCGATTGCGGCGCAGAAATCCAGCTTTACCGTCTCATCGTTCACGCTAATCACCAGCGTGCTTGCATCCTTCACGGAAACCATGCCGTGCTCGTTCAGTGGTCGGCCGCGCACCTTCACGCTGTCCAGCATGGCTACATCCAACGAAAACTCGCGAGTCAGACCCAAAAAACAACACAAATCAACTCCAAAACCAAAACCGAGCCATTCCAAAGCTGAGAACGCACCTGGAGTGGCGCGCCCAGTTCGCAGCTTGGCCAGCGCAGTAGTCAGAAACTTGGCCGTGGTGGAGAGACGCGTCCGGACCTCGTCCAGCTGCGGCATTGCCGGCTTGGCATCGCCTTTCGGGGAGTCCTCGTCCATTTCGGCATCTTCTTCGTCGTCGTCCTTGTTCTTGTTGCCTTTGCCCTTCTCAGCTGCATCGTATGTCGTCCAACAATCGATCGTTCACCAGTTAAGATTTGCCAAGATTTGGTGAATGATTTACGACCGAAACAAGTCTCTCTCCGAAATGCAAACAACGGGCAGAACGTACGCTTGTCCCGACCACGCGCGTAGCATCGGACGTGGGTTGCGGATGCCCTGTTTGACAGCATGCCAGCCGCCTGGGCACTGGCTGGGAGCGCGATCGCAGCACGAGACGAAACAGTCCATGTGCTCGATGACACCGTAGACGACGACGACGCCGACGCGGCCAACACGCTCGACCGCGCGGTGATGACTGCCGTGGCCATAGTGCGCGCAGGTGTCGGACGCACTGTGAGGAAGGCAGCACGCGTGGCGAGGCGAGCAGCGGCGCTGGTTGCAAGGTTGCACAAAGTCATTGTTGATCGGCTTTCTGAGCGCTGGCGAAAAGTGCCAAAACACAAATCCAAAAAAAGGAGCAATGATGAGACATATTGAAATATTGAAATGGAGGCGGTACGCAATGGAAACATGAATGAAGAGCTGGTCGAACCTCTACAATCTCGATGAATTCTGGCTCGAGTTCAACCTCACGGAGCCAACACTGATCAAAGCCGCGATTGACTGGTTCCAACAGCGACATGTTTGAGTGCCTGTGAGTTTTACAGGATGGCTGCAGTGTACCTTTCATTGATTAGATCATTGAATACAGTAAAGAATCAAGCATTCAATCCAACTCCGACCGTTCTGAGCTTCGCAGACACCGACCTTTATTTTCATAGTTTCCTGACAATAGACGAACGTGTCTCCGGCGCACAGACAAACCGGAAGAGCTGTCTCGTCAAATCCAATGCATGAGCGTTCAATTCGAATTTTGCTCTCAGCAGTCTAAATTTGTGCCAATTCTAGTACGATTGTGCAACGCCACATCATCATCCCATCTCAACAAAATCCGTCCTCCCTGTGTGATCATCCAAAATATATTGTTGTTTTGTGACAGATTGTGAAGAGCAGGACTTGAGAGGCCCGGGTTTAGGGAGGCGATGCCAGTCGCAAGCAACGGCGCAACTCTTTCATTGTACTTTCTCTGGTGTCTCCTGTCCTGGCATTTCATACCATCGATGAACATCCCTAATACCGATGACGGACGAGAGATCAGTGGGCATTCGGGAACGAGATGGCGGTGGAAGAATCGCAGAAAACTCGGCAGTCAAACGACTTTCATCTCACTGAATCTGATTTACTTCACACCGAAGCAAAGCAGGCATATGAAGCCATGACAGACAAGACAGACAAGTGCTCGATGACACCGTAGACGACGACGACGCCGACGCGGCCAACACGCTCGACCGCGCGGTGATGACTGCCGTGGCCATAGTGCGCGCAGGTGTCGGACGCACTGTGAGGAAGGCAGCACGCGTGGCGAGGCGAGCAGCGGCGCTGGTTGCAAGGTTGCACAAAGTCATTGTTGATCGGCTTTCTGAGCGCTGGCGAAAAGTGCCAAAACACAAATCCAAAAAAAGGAGCAATGATGAGACATATTGAAATATTGAAATGGAGGCGGTACGCAATGGAAACATGAATGAAGAGCTGGTCGAACCTGTACAATCTCGATGAATTCTGGCTCGAGTTCAACCTCACGGAGCCAGCAATGATCAAAGCCGCGATTGACTGGTTCCAACACAGCGACATGTTTGAGTGCCTGTGAGTTTTACAGGATGGCTGCAGTGTACCTTTCATTGATTAGATCATTGAATACAGTAAAGAATCAAGCATTCAATCCAACTCCGACCGTTCTGAGCTTCGCAGACACCGTCCTTTATTTTCATAGTTTCCCGACAATAGAGGAAGGTGTCTCCGGCGCACAGACAAACCGAAAGAGCTGTCTCGTCACATCCAATGCATGAGCGTTCAATTCGAATTTTGCTCTCAGCAGTCTAAATTTGTGCCAATTCTAGTACGATTGTGCAACGCCACATCATCATCCCATCTCAACAAAATCCGTCCTTCCTGTGTGATAATCCAAAATATATTGTCGTTTTGTGACAGATTGTGAAGAGCAGGACCTGAGAGGCCCGGGTTTAGGGAGGCGATGCCAGTCGCAAGCAACGGCGCAACTCTTTCATTGTACTTTCTCTGGTGTCTCCTGTCCTGGCATTTCATACCATCGATGAACATCCCTAATACCGATGACGGACGAGAGATCAGTGGGCATTCGGGAACGAGATGGCGGTGGAAGAATCGCAGAAAACTCGGCAGTCAAACGACTTTCATCTCACTGAAACTGATTTGCTTCACACAGAAGCAAAGCAGGCATATGAAGCCATGACAGACAAGACAGACAAGACAGACAAGTTGTTTGAAACAGTGAAGCAAGCGACCGGAGAGCTCAGGTCAGGAAACCAAAGTTTGTATTTTGAACGAAAATGACCTAACATTCGTGTTGTGCGCACAACAGTCTTTCCGGCCATCGTATTGATGATGCCGGGGCTAAAGTGATCGCTGAAGCACTCAAGAGCAACAGAACACTGACCAGTATCGAGTATGATCCTCAAACGCTGACGACTGCTTGCCAATGATATGGTAGTTTAGACATGCTCTTACCGCGTGAAACAGTCTGAGTGCGAATCAGATTGGCTTTGACGGAGGTCAAGCGATTGCCGAAGCACTCAAGAGCAACGGAACGCTAACTGCTCTCAAGTATGTCTCCTCTTACGACGACTTGACGATGATGTGATGGTTTCTGACAGAGTTATTTTGGTGACATGCTCTTGCCGCTTGAAACAGTCTGAACAATAATTCGATTGGCGATACTGGAGCTCAAGCGTTTGCTGAAGCACTCGAGCACAACGAGACACTGACCGATCTCGAGTATGTCTCCTCTCATGACGGCTCGATGATGACATGATAGTTTCTGACAGAGTTGTTTTGATGACATGCTCGCACCGCATGGACCAGTCTGAGAATAAGTCGGATTGGTGGTGCAGGGACGAAGGCTCTCGAAATGACTGGCAACACGAGGTGTCGTGTGTTGTAAGTCCCTTTGGTTTAGCAAAATGCAGAGAATTCGGACAAGATATGTCGTGCTGACCTTGGAGCCTAACCTTCCGATTTGCTTGGGTTCTCCTTGTGTCGCAATTGGCCTTCCAACAGTCTTCAAAGCGATGGCATCCCGCTATCTGTTCAACAACGGGCTCCGTCATCAAGATCCTCCGCTTCTTCATCTCCCAATGAGCAAGTTCGTATGTCGCAACCTCGTGTCGAGGATCTGGAGCAGCAGCTTCAAGACAAAGATGCGGCTGTTGATTCACAAATGCCTGGAGACGAAGTCCTGGAAGGTCAGGATGCTCGAGGTGAGCACTGGATGGAATGTCCTGTGATCTCGCTCTGATTTTTTTTATTTCGCGATCTTGAACAGAGGACCCGTCAACTCCAAGCGCTCGCCATCAACCACCGGCTGCTTCTGCGCCCCTTCCAAATCCTCATCAACCAGCAGCTGTGTCTGATGTCAGACTGCATGAATCATCCAGTGCACCTACAATGCAAGGTAGGATTTTGTGTCATCGGTTGCGGGTTTTGGACGATCAGCTCACTCACCCCGATCCACCCACCAAAATTTTGAATACTTCAGTGATCGACGACCCGATAGATGTCTCGCAAACTAGCCAAGGCCAGGTGCATGACTTGTACTCTGACACGGTTCGCCTCCTCGAGTCCATCGGCATGCCGCGCGCTGCTGAGCTTGTACCGCTACCTTCGGACGACGGCCTGGGCCTTCTCGAGCGCTGCACGACACTGGAGCTCGTTAGGAAAATCGTCGAGTACCTGGATGAGCACGCAGACTTGACGAGCACGTCGACATTGGTCGATCGCGTGCACGCTCTTGGCTTCGACCAGCGTGTCGCCGACCTTCTTGAAGCTCACCGGCAGCGCTGCGGCGACATGTGGGGCGTTCGATCAATTGCCGACTGGCTCTTGACGTACGTAGAAGAATGCCTCGAGCCTCCAAGCGACGCCCGCTTTCCGTACACTCCGGACACACGCGGAGTGAGGTCGCAGCAGCAAACCGGAAGGCGTGATGGTCGACCGCTTCAATATGTGAACTACCCAGCCGCCGCCATTGAACGGGGGTCAGATGCGCTCAGGCAGCCACTTAACGACTATTTCAGTACGTTTCAAAGCACCCTCCCAAATTACCAGAACCGCCTGCCTGTCTACTTGTACCACGGCACCAGTCACGAAAATGCCATCTACATATTCACCAACGGCCCCGAGCGACTGAGCACTCACCAAGATTTCAGCCGCGAAGGCGCATTCTGCACCACAACCGACCTGCGACAAGCCATAGACTGGGCCAGAAGGCGTCATGTGCTCGGAAACGGCCTCTCGTCGCCTGCGGTCGTCATCTTCCAGCTCTTTCAGGATGAGCTCGACCACGAACGCTCGTGGTCGCCAGATAATATCGAATGGGAGCGGCTTATTCTCTCGTCGCGTCTACATGAGCGCCTACTGCGGCAGTACTACCACCACGATGCTTCGGCTGAGGATTGTCAGGAGATTGCGCAGAGGGCCGACTTCGTGTCCGGTCCCTACAGTGCAGCGGGCAGCAGTTGAATCAAGCCCTCTCTCTTGATGACGCTCTCGCGATCGATTTGAGGCCAGATGGCCAGCAGACTGCGGCCATAAACGTCCGTGCCACCAACCTTCTGCATGATCGTTGCGTTGCGATTTTGTTCTTTGAGCAAACTCGGTACTGATGAGATTCTATTGAGGTTGACATACTTGCGTCAAGCTCAAACACGAATCATAGCTGCACCCAATGTGATTCGGTGGTCGTGAGAGTGCTAGATTAGCTTGTTGTGTTGTTGTTCGCTGATTTCGATAAAATACTCCTTGTCGAACTTGGAAAATTGAACGCCTTTTTGATCTCCATATTCATTCCACGTTTCCACACTCTTGCCGGCAATGAATATCAACACGATACAATTCTCGATCCGATGATTTTGACTCTAAGCAACTTGCGCTCGTCATTGCTCTCTGGAGTTCCAAGGCAAAGACCAAGTACTGTATGGCCACGATTTTCAATATTCCAACCGGGTCGAATACGCGCCTACCAGGACTTTACTTTTCGGGGCGAGAGCAGCCAGTCTTCAAAATGCAGTCGTATGAGTGCATGACTGACAGACAGCGCGAGTTGTACGACAACATCCAGAACAGACAGCGCGAGTTGTACGACAACATCCAGAATGCGAGTGGATTTCTATCGTAAGAGAGCACCAAAGTTTAGTTGCGAAAACCAGTGTGACAGGGCGCTGACGAGTTGGACGACAGGCTGGAGCACCGACAGATTGACGATGCTGGAGCGCAGGCGATTGCCGAGGCACTCAAGGTGAACAGGACGGTGACGACGCTCTAGTAAGACAATTCCGCGTTTCCTTGATGCATGAGAGCAGGTGGTTCCAGTTGAGGATGGTCCGAGTGGCTCACTGACGGAGGCAATGTGTGTGTGGAACAGCTTGGGCAGCAATCAGATTGGCGATGCGGGGCTGAACGCGATTGCTGAGGCACTCAAAGTCAACACGACGGTGGCGACCCTCAAGTAAGGGCATTTTCACACTGTTGGCTGATGCGTGTGAGTGGGCAATTTCAGCAAAAGGGGCCGAACGAGTGCTCACTGGTGGAAGGAATTGACAGTTTGGCTGCAAATCAGATTGGCAATGTTGGAGCGCAGGCGATTGCTGACACTCTCAAAGCGAACACGACGCTGGCTGGACTCCAGTAAGTCAATTGTGCTTGTGCGTGAGTGATTTTCATCGGGCATGCAGAGGACTCACGACTGATGGAGGGGGGAACGCACAGTTTGGGCAAGAATCGAATCGGCGATGCTGGTGCGACGGCAATTGCAGAGGCACTCCAAGCGAGCACGGCGCTGATTCATCTTTAGTGAGTCATCTCACGTTGACTGCTGCCTTTTTGAATGGGTGGAATTCGACGAGGGCATTCAGAAGACTCACTGATGGGTATGGACAGTCTGGTGGAGAATCAGATTGGCGATGCCGGGGCGCAGGCGATTGCGGAGGGGCTCAACGGCAACACGAGGCTGACTGGGCTCTAGTAAGGCATTTGATGATGTTGACTGATGCTTGATGCTTGTGAATGGTTGATCCAACATGGGCCGTTCAAATTGGCTCACCTACCGATGGAGGGGATGGACAGTTTATATCAGAACGAGTTTGGTGATGCTGGAGCGCAGGCGATGGCCCAGGCACTCAAAGTGAACACGACGTTGACGTGGCTCTCGTAAGGCGTCAGAATTTTGACGGGTGCATGTCCGAAATAGTTCTAACTGAACGAGGGATGGACAGCTTGCGTGCGAATCAGATTGGCGATGCTGGAGCGCAGGCAGTTGCCGAGGCACTCAGAGTGAACAAGAAGCTGACTTGGCTCGAGTAAGTTGCTCGTACAGGACATTGAGCAGAGGTCGGTGTACTTTGCTATGCTGTCACCTAACTCACCCCCGTTGAGCGGTAGCCTACAATATAATTGCATTGGCAATGTTACTGTTCAAGTGATTGGTGAGACTCGCAAAGCCACCCGTCCAAAAATTGAGTAAGTCCTTGCAAGTGAGAGCCATCGGTCAACCAATGGATTGGCCCCTGCTGACGGCTCATTCCATCTTGCCCGTTCGTTGCGCAGCATCGACAACCAGATCAACCCTCGTGTGTTCTCTTTATTTCCACGATTAGCAAGTGCTGACGACATTCAAGACGTGTTTCGCTTACTAACCTGCGGGCCAGAGCTAGACAATCAGTCCGCATCACTTCCAGCACTGACATCCGAGATTGTCCACTTCATTATGGACGAAGCACATTACTGGCAAGGCGTGAAGCACGCTAAGCGAGCACTGTTTGATGGCACTCTCCCCGATTGTATTCTGAAAGTCACGTTGCCTCAGAGTATCAATGGCTGCTCGATCCGTGTGAAGGCCATTCAAGTGCTTCGTAACAAGAAGGAACGTCGCGACAGCATCGATGACGGCGTTTTCGATTTGATTGTTCGAGATGAGAACGGTGCAGTTCGATACGAATGTGCGGCAAACCCGAATGTTGTCGATTCGAACATTGCGCGCGCGACGATATTGCCATCGAGTACTCCCATCATCGAACACATGCGCGAGGGTTGGCACGTTCAAGTACGATCCAGCAAGTCCGCCCAAGACGTGCTGCTTGAATCCCTTTATGTTGGATATGTCTAACAATCAATGCATGTCCATTACTCTCGCTGCCGTTGCTCACTACGAACATGAATCCGGAGCACGAATCTGGAAAGAATCAAGGCTAAGAAATGTTATGATCAGAATCGCTTTATGTTGGATATGTCTAACAATCAATGCATGTCCATTACTCTCGCTGTCGTTGCTCACTACGAACATGAATCCGGAGCACGAATCTGGAAAGAATCAAGGCTAAGAAATGTTATGATCAGAGATCGTTCCACGAAGATACGAGTTATAGGTTGATGATGAGAGGAATAATAAGGAAAGAAGAGACTTCACTAATACAAAGCGACCAGTGAGCACACTCCAAATACAGATACACATCAACCCATAACAAGAAATGGAGTCGGTTTGGCAGGTTTGTCTGAATTGTATTCAAATAAACTCCCGTTCAAAAAGGTTTGGCATTTGAGTCTGTTTTTGGGAAGTGTCAGTCCTTGTTTGTTAAGCTGTTTTGAGGAGATGCAAAGCATGACTGAAAGACAGCGCGAGTTGTACGACAAAGTCAAGAATGCGAGTGGAAACCTCATGTAAGATAAAAGCCCGAGTTGATTGGAACACAGTGTTGACAGCGCGAGTGTGTGCTGACGAAAATGGAGGGGAACAGTCTGGGTGATCATCAGACTGGTGATGACGAAGCGAAGGCGATTGCTGAGGCGCTCAAAGTGAACAAGACGGTGACCTGGCTCATGTAAGGCACCTCACTTTGACTGTTGCATGTGATTGGGCGATTCAGAAGAGTGCTCACCGATGGAAGGGATGGACAGTCTGTGGGCGACTCAGATTGGTCATGTTGGTGCGCAGGCGATTGCAGAGGCACTGAAAGTGAACAGGACACTGAAGGAGCTCCAGTATGGCATCTGTGCTGTTGAGTGGATAATTCAGCAGTGTAGTGACGACAAAGGACGGACAGTCTGCATACGAATCAGATTGGCGATGCTGGTGCACAAGCGATTGCTGAGGCACTTGAAGTGAACACGGCGCTGAGGCGCCTCGAGTAAGGCATATCGCACTTTGACTAATGCATTTGAGTGGGTGATTCAGAAGAGTGCTCACTGATGGAGGGGACGGATAGTTTGGGCTGTAATCAGATTGGCAAGGCTGGAGCGCGAGCGATTGCTGAAGCACTCAAAGCGAACACGACGCTGACTTCTCTTGAGTGAGGCATCTCACTCTTGTCGGTGCATGAGAGTGGGTGATTCAGACGAGCGCTCTCTGATGAATGGGACGTATAGTTTGTGGGAGAGTCAGATTGGCGATGCTGGTGTACAGGCGATTTTTGAGGCTCTCAAAGAGAATGCAACGGTGACTAAGCTCGGGTCAGTCGCCTCACTTTGACTGTCGCATGTGAATGTGATCCAGCGTGGCGTATTCAGAGTGCTCACTGATGGAGGGGATGAACAGACTGAGTGACAGTCAGATTGGCGATGCTGGAGCGCACGCGATTGCTGAAGCACTCAAAGTGAACAAGACGCTGTCTTGCCTCAAGTCAGGCATTTCGCATCTACTGGTGCTTATGAGTGGGTGGTCAAGTAGAAGGTATTCGGAGTGCTCACTGATGGGATGAACAGACTGTGTGCCTGTCAGATTGGCGATGCTGGAGCGCACGCGATTGCTGAAGCACTCAGAGTGAACAAGACGGTGACGACGCTCTAGTAAGGCAGCTTCTTTTGACTGATACATGTGAATGCGTGACTTCAACAGAAGGCAGTTCAGCGTGCTCATTCATGGAGGAGATGGACAGTCTGCATGAGAATCAGATTGGCGATGCTGGGGCGCGAGCGATTGCTGAAGCACTCAGAGTGAACACGACACTGACTCAGTTGTAGTAAGGCAGCTTCTTTTGACTGATACATGTGAATGCGTGACTTCAACAGAAGGCAGTTCAGCGTGCTCATTCATGGAGGAGATGGACAGTTTGCATATGAATCAGATTGGCGATGTTGGAGCACAGGCGATTGCTGAAGCACTCAAGCTGAACACGATGGTGAATGAGCTATTGTAAGCAATCTCACGTTGACCGGTGCGTGTGATCAAGTAGAAGGTATTAGGAGTGCTCACCGATGGAGGGGAATGGGACAGTTTGAGTGGCAATCAGATCGGTGACATTGGAGTGCACGCAATCGCTGAAGCACTCAAAGTGAACACGACGGTGACTGAGCTCGAGTAAGTTGCTGTGCGCTTTGCTTTGCTCGTCTCACTCGTTGAGCCAGGGTCAGACATACCTTGCTCACCCTTTTAGCGATAGTCTACGATACAATTGCATTGGCAATGTTGGTCTTCAAGCGTTTGATGAAATGTGTCAAGTCAACCGAACTCTGTCTAATTTTTGGTATGTTGTTTGTCCGAACGATTTGTGCTCCAACCAGAGGAGTCGCTACGGAGTACTCATTCTCTCTGCTTGTTCGTGCGCAGGATCGATGGCCAGATCAACCCTCTTGCATTCTCCTTGCTTCCACGATTGGCAACTGCTGAAGATCTTCACAACGTGTTTCACTTGCTAAGCAGCGGACTGGCGCTGGAGGATCAACCCACATCTCTACCAGCACTACCAAACGAGATTGCCGAGCTCATTATGGACGAAGCGCACTACTGGCAAGGCGTGCAGCAAAGCAAGCGATCGGAGTTTGATGATGAGTTCCCCGCGTATCTTATTCTGAAAGTCACACTGCCTCAATGCGTCAATGGGAATTCAATCCGTATAAAAGCAATTCAAGTGCTTCGCGACTGGCGCAAGCGTCCTGACAACACCGGTGACTGTGTTTTGATTTGATTGTTCGAGATGAGCAAGGTGCTCTTCGATACGAGTGCTCGGAGAAATCGACTGTTGTCGATTCGAACCTCGACCTTGTGACAATCCTGCCAGCCAATGATCCTATCATCCGACAAATGCGCGCGGGTTGGCAAGTTCAAGTTCGAACCAGCAAGTCTTCTCGAGATGAGTTGTTTGAATCGCTTTATGTTGGATTTGTCTAACGACAGTTATCGGAATGTTTGGGTGCAAACCGCCTACTTGTTCGAATCGATGGAATGTTCCGTATAGTGCTCGGGCAAGGTTGACTCTCAACGACGAAAGAGCCTCGAAAGAAGAGGTTGAAATGCAAACAGCTCGTAGCATTGGCAACTCCCAACTTGCGCTGAATTATTCACTAGTGGTTGATGATGTTACAACAACGCGCACCGGCTTGTGCCTGGAAGATCCAAATGTATCTGAGTCGCATTGCGGACGCTCGAACGGCCAAGGTTTCGGCTGCATCCCCAAATTTGTGGTCTGCTTGTAAATCTGATGCGACGCACGACAGATTGGACATGGGGAAAATTTGGAAAACAAAAATGCTGATATTGGAACAGGAAGAGAAACAAGCATAAAAAGGGTCACAACATTGCACCAAAGACGAGTTAAGACGAGCTAACAGCGAGTTGCTGAGCATCGGCTTGGGTCGCGGTGTTGTTGACGTTGCTGTTGTTGCTGTTGTTATTGTTGTTGTGATAGTTGCGGGGCTGACCAAATCGGCGCTGCCGTCGTCAAATGAAACGAGATCAAAAAGCGATGTGAGTTTTCAAAAAGAGAAAAAAAAAAAAAAAAAAGTCACACAACACCGCGAGCCACCACGAAAACACGCCGCAGCGCAGCCTCACTTACCGGACGCTGGGTTTGTGCTGCACCCGCACCACCGACAAACTGGCGCTGAAGCCGTTGCTGACCGCCTTCCTTGCCTGCAGCAGCGGGGCGTTGACCTGGCCCGCGTCGTTGATTTGAATCTAACACTCAAAGAGAGAGAGAGAGACAGAGAGCGGGTGGAGTAAGAACAAGGCGAGCTTCATCAAAACAGCTGCGTTGCTTTTTTTTTTTTTTTTTTTTTTTTTGTTGTTGTTGTTGTTGTTGTTTGTTTGTTTGTTTTTGGGAATTGGGGCTATGGTTGCCCTTCGAACAAGTCAAGCAAACTCTCTTACAGGCGCTGGCGGCGCGTTGCTGTTGCTCGCGGAAGCCTTGGACACCAGAGCGTTGCTCAAACAAGAACTCGTTCTTCTCGATGAAAGTGGTTGACTTGTCGGTGAAGAGGAGGGCTAGGTGGTGCAGCTTGGAAAGGTCGGAACGGTGAACAACGATTGTGTTGGTTGGTTGGTTGAGCGAAGCGTGCAGCTCGTCCGACATGATCATCTTGCTGACAATGCGGTGAACGGTGGCCTGGGGCAAGTCAAACAGCTGGGCCAGCGTGTCCAGGCTGATCGAGTCGTAAATGCCGCTGTAGGTGAAGAGGTATGTCCGGAGACCCTCCTCTTGGATCTTGAGGCTGAGCATGTCCTTGACCTTGTCGGCGGTGGGGAAGAGCGACCAAATCTTGATGGAGCGGATGAGCGTTTGAGCCTGGTTCCAGTTGCACGCGGCGAGCGCACGCGCGGCGGCAATAACGTGATCACGAGTGTTTTCCGGGGGACCATGGAAGATTTGACGGTCGACAAAGTCCCAGTACTTGCGGAAGTGCTTGGAAATCATCAGACGCTTGTGGTTGTACGGGTGAGCAGCCATGTTGGGGATTTCGAGCAGCATGGCCGAGGTCAGGTAGACGCACTCGAGGAGTTCGACGTTAATGTGCATGTGGAAGGGCAGCTGGCGACGGCGCTCAATCTTCTCCTGCTCGACGTTGCGCTCGGCACCAGGGTACTTTTGCTGGGTGGGCCCTTGGGCAAGGAGCTCCTTGGCGCGACCCGAGCTCACCAAATCCTGCAAGCAGTGGTGGGCGTCAACAATCAAGCCAGCGCGGAAGGCGCACAGACCGAGTTGGACCATGGTGCGATTGAAAAGGATGTGCGTCTCAATGTCGGCGTGCGTCACCGTCTCTTGAAGGTGGGACATGAGCATCAAGTCGCGGGCCTCAAACCACCGGTCGTGCAGGGCGTGGTGGTAGATGTGGCAGAGCATGGCGCGCGAGCGAATGCGGGCGGTCTTGTCGTTGTGATAAATGTACTTGCACAGGCGAGCCATGAGCGCGGTGGCGCGCTCGTCAGTGCCGGTCGGTGAGCTGACAGCGGAAGCAAGGGCAGGCGAAGACAAGAGGCCTTTCTCTGCAAATTCGCGATAATCCAACTTGATGTAGACGTGCTCGATGCGACGAAGATAGAGTCGGCAAATGTCGACAACGACGCCAATGCGCTCAACCATCTCTTGGGCAGCAACAAGCAAGCTGACCAGGCGGTTTTCGTCACGGAGGTGGGAAATGTACTCGACAGTGTGGGGATCGGCCGACTGGAGCGTGCGAGTGAACTCGTCGTCCAAGCGCTCGACCGTTCCCAGAACGCTACCGCGCACGGCGAGGGGCTTGGAGGTATCGCTCAAGTTCTCATTCTCTTCAGTGACATGGTCGCCGACGATCAGTGTGGGGGTTTCGCGGACAATGCGCAATAGCTCGCCAACGTTGGCAAAGCAGCTGTTCCACAGCTCGGTGGACATGGGAGGAGTGGTCGAGGCAGCGTCAAACTCGGCAGCCACGAGGTGCAGGAAAATCTTGAGGCGCATGGCGACGCCCAGCTTGGCCGTCTCGGAAATTTCTGCCAGCTTCTTGAGCGTGTCAATCATGTCGTTCTTGTCGGTGCCCTTCTTGCCGCGAGCAGCAACAATCTCTTGCAGCTTGGCGACCATCATGGCGTGTGTAATCTCAGCGTCCTTCGGGAAGAAGACCTTCTCGGCCTTCACCTCCACCTTGGGCTCGGCAGCCTCGGCGGCCGCGTTTTCGTCGGGCTTTGGCGCGACAGCACGAACACGCTTGACCTTCTTGAGAGGCTTCTCGGGCTCGCCGACCTTCTTCAAGAAGTACTCGCGCGTGTACTGGGGCGTGCCGCCTTCGTCTTCGGACGACGAGGACTCGGACGAGTCCCAGTCCGACGACTCGTCGGAATCGGCAGCAGCGGCCTTGGCTGTGGCTGTGGCTGCGGCGGGCTTGGTGGCGGGCTTTTTGGGAGCCTCGTCCTCGCTATCGGAATCGCTGGACGAGTCCGAGCTCGATGCCGCAGCCTTCTTGCCAGCGGCAGCCTTGCCTGGCGCGGGCTTGGCAGTCTTGGCCGTTGGCTTTTTGGGGGTGTCCGAATCGGAATCAGAGCTCGAGTCAGAGCTGGATTCGGATTCTTTGGCCTCCTTCGAAGGCTTGACGGGGGCGTTGGCCTCGGGGCTGGCGCGGTACGTGGCGAGCTGCGCCTCGTACATCGGGGCGTTCTTCTTGAGCTTTTGCTTGATGGCGACCAGACCCTTGGCGTGCAGCTTGTTCAGCTTTTCAGCCGCCTCGGCCGTTTCCGGCACAGCCTTTGCAATAATGTCAATCGCGCGAAGGAAGGGCTTTGGCAACGGGGTTCCAGCCTTGAACTTTTCGGCGAGCTTGAGCAGCTTTTCGAGGTCTGTGTGTCACGACGAGTTGGATCACGATTGATTTTTGGTGGTAAGACAGAGAGAGAGAGGGAGAAAGAGCAGAGAGGATGAGCGCAACGATGTCGACATCAACTTGAAAAACTCGGAAAGCAACGACGAGCGGCGAGGACCGCCCTCCCGACAACGACAACGACAACCACGGTGGGGAAGACTGACCTGTGTGCATGCTGGTAAAGTCGTTGGTCTTGCGGTGGACGTTGAGCTCCTTGAGGATCTTTTCAATCTCGTCGTTGAGCTTTTCCGCCGCAGACTTGACGACGCGCTTGACGTCCTCATCGTCGCTGCTGTCGTGGAAGCGGCTGTGCACCCCAAGAATCACAGTCAACCATGGCAACAGTCAGTCACGGCGCGCTTCCGAGCAGAGAGCGAGGGCGGTGTGTGTGTGTGTGGGGATGGGTCGACTCCAATGCATTTCCAGCCAAAGTCCAACCCGGCCATGTGCTGCCTTGCTTTTTTTTTTTTTTTTTTTTTTTTTTTTGGATGGATTTCAACATCAAAAATTCAACATCAAAAAGCCAACAAAAGAAAAAGCCTCGTGTGTTTGCTCTCTCTCTCATTCTCGCCGCGCTCTTCTAGCGCATGCTTTGCTCTACTGTTCGGCAGCGTGCGTTGTTCGGCTGGCGTTCGCTCGGATGAGGGAAGAGAGGGAGAAACGGAAAGCTTCGGATCTCGCGTTTTTCCAGCCTCGCGTCCATCCTTCCTTCCTCTTCCTTCCTTCCTCTGCCTCGGACGGACTGCTGTGGCGTTGCCGATGCGATGGGGCTTTTTTCGACGCACCTGGCTGCGGGGCGCGTGGGCTGGATGACGCGCTCGTCCTCGGATTCAGACGACGACTCGCTGGACGATGTGTCGCCACTGGCAAAGAAGCGAGACATTGTGGAAAACAGAAAAAAAAAGGAATAAACTGAACGATCGCAAATGGAAGACAATCGGATCAGACAGCGCTGATGCATGATGATGAAACATGCATCGACAGAGCAACAAGAGAGATCAAAAATCAACGATCAAAGGGAGGGGCGGCGGCGGTGAAGCGAAAAGCAGAGTAAAAGAAAATGGCGCCAAACAAAAAAATGCGGGAAGCAGAATCGAGCTTCGGAGCGTCTGAGCGTCTGAGGTGGTGGGGTTTTTCCGCTGTTATGTTGCTAGTTCAACGCGCAATGCATGCAGATCCACAGACCTGTCTTCTCGCTCTCTTGGTAAGGTAACAGGAGCAGGATTGCCGCAGTCTTTTTTTTTTTCTTTTTTTTTCACCTCATCCCACGCTCACAGCCCCCAAACACACAACAACAATGGCCAAGACCAAGGAGGAGTCGAGCAAGGCGAAGGCCGTCAAGGACACCAAGAAGGAGAAGGAGAGCAAGAAGAGCACCAAGGAGCAGGACGACTCTGACAACGAGGGCGCTCTTGAGCTCGACTACGACCTGCTCGTCTCGCGCGTCTCGGTCATTGCCAAGCCGCTCGCCAACAAGAAGCTCACCAAGAAGGTCCTCAAGACAGTCAAGAAGGGTGCGTCGCCTCCTCTGCATCGGAGACACAGAGACAGAGACAGAGACAGGCAGACAGAGACAGAGGCTCAATGCAAAAGCCACAGTTCACCGCGTGCTTTTTTCCACTCTTTTTTTTTTTCTTTTTTTTTTTTTTTTTTGAGGGCTTTTCCATTGACTGAATCTCAACGTGCTTTGCTGGAAGAGAGGAGAAAGGATTGAAGGAAGGGGAAAGGGAGGGGATGGAATACGCTCGCCTCGACATCCACCCGCCCCCTTCATGAGTTGATCTCCGAACAGCAAACTCACTCTCCTTGTTCTTGCTTGGATTCACACTATTGCTTGGATTCACACTATTGCTTGGATTCACACTATTGCAGCTGCCAAGGCAAAGCAAATCCGCCGCGGTGTCAAGGAAGTCGTCAAGGCCCTCAAGAAGAAGGAAACTGGGTAAGCACGAGCGCTCAACTATGGTGATGATTGCTCAAAATACTTGGTTCCGGCCCTCACTCTCTCCCCTGCGATAACGCTCCCTCACCCTCGACAGCGTCGTTATCATTGCTGGTGACATCTCACCCATCGATGTCGTTGCTCACATTCCCGTTCTCTGCGAGGAGATGAGCGTCCCGTACGTGTACGTCCCTTCCAAGGAGCAACTCGGTGCTGCCGGCTCCACCAAGCGCCCCACCAGTGTTGTTCTCGTCAAGCAAAACAAGGACATTAAGGAGGCTTTCGATGAGACTGTTGCTGAAGTCAAGGCATTGCCAGCACCATTCTAAAAGAGGAAATGGGTGTTTTGTTCCTTGCGGTTGTTTGTTTGTTGTTGGTTGTGTTCTCCTCCTCCGTGTTTTCGCCTGGAGGAAGAAGTTATAAAAGAAGTTACAAAAATTACCCCCAAAGCCCGATCCTTCGATGTTGTTGAGCGGTACCAAGTCAAAAACGAAATTGGATGTTTTTTTTTTTTGTTTTTTCGAAAAAAAAAAAACTAAAAGTACAGCACAACTCAACCATTACCAATACAATAATAATCGCCAATCACTTGGGAGCTGTTGGCTTGACTGTTGGCGAGACGGGTGAAGCGGGCGTGGTTGGCGCCGGGGTTGGCGGCAATGGGATGGAGCTTGGCTCAATGTCCACCTGCCACACCGGCTTTGTGCTTGCTGCGTTCTTCTGGATCTGGTTCATGAGTTCCTGATTGATTGCTTGGCGATCGTCATGGCTCCGTGCCAAGCGTCGTCGCTCCTCCGCCGGCAGTCGCTAAACCACATGCAACCAAGTGCAGCGCAACGTGAGCTTACTGAAAGCCGCCGCCCCGCCGCGCAGCAACCCGTCATCGAGTCTACCAACTCTTTCAAACGGTATCAGATGCAAAAGGGGGTCGCATCAACCTACCCCGAGCAGCTCGTCGTGCGATGGTGTTGTGCGCGTCATGCACCAGTAGCCAAAGTAGATGACGGCCGCACCGCTGACCAGCGCTTTCGTATATCGCTCCATGGTTTGTGTTTGCTTTGAACAGTTGTGGGTAGAATTAAGCTAACGTTGTGGTAGCAGCTTTGTTCAGGTGCAGAATGAGGTGAAAAGTGTCTGAAGAACTGCCAAGAACAAGACTGATTGTTACTCTTCGAGCCATTCGCATCAATCCGTCATCGATTGGATTCGCTCTTTGCAGGGATATTCAACAGCTGAATTCCAACGCAATGACAGTGGTTGCGGCACGGTGGGTCGGGTTTTCGATTTTTGCGACCGATTTCTCGCCAAAATTGCCCTCTTTCAGGGATTACAGTTGCGTCCATCAAAATGTCTAGAAAATGGTGCCCAAGACGCAGATTGGGAATATGTCAATGGATTAAGCAATAAAACAACATTTTGAATAGACGTCTATCGAATCAAGCAGTTGGACGGTCTGAAGAGTGCTGATCTAGGGTTCTGTGATGCATCGCAAGTTGCTGAAAAGGCAAACCTGGATAACTGCCATTCCTAAGGCCCGTCTCCCATTTCTCTTGATGCAAAATTGACAGCAATGATATTTATAAGCTGCTGAAATGAATGGCAGGCGCGCAAAGCAATGGCTTTGGGCTGAAAGCAGTGCCGGTGGCGGGGTGTTTGAGGTTCGTTTTCGACCCTTTTTTCGCCATGCCCCTTTCTCGCCAAGCAACGCGATTCTGCAACAGGTCAGCTTCAACACTTTAAGCTGCTCAAATCTCTGAACCTATTTACCCTCGAATGAATTTTGCGCAACTTTGGATCAAGCACCGAATGGAACAACCACTCTTTTTTGTTTGTTTTGTTTCTCCATTTTCCACTCAACCCCTCGCGCCCTTCTCTCTCTCTTCCTCTTTTTCCTTGTAAGAAGCACTTGTTGACTCATTTTCAAACTCCAGCAACCCATCCCTCCAACTCCGTTGTCTCCGCTGCATCATCCCACAACGCAGACCTCGATACAACTTAAAATGCGTCAAAGTCGATTTGAATCAAACCGTTTCACTTTTTTTTTTTGTTTCATATTTTCTTCGTTTTTGTCGTGCTTTGCAGACTCTCCTTTCTTTGTCAGCCCTTCAAGCAAGCAGTCTCTGAAGCTCAAACCTTCCACTACAAAAACACAGCGACATAAAGACATGGGTGCACAGGCAAGCAAGTCCTTTGAAGAAGCAGAAGGCGATTCTTCCCAAACTCGGGCAAACGGCTCGAAACCAATTCAAACGGCTCGCGTCCACGACTTGCATCTGACGCCCGTCCGCAACGCTCTGCCGGCGTATCTGGACCCGCGCTCCCCGCAAAACAGGATCGACCATGGCGCAATGGCGCCGCGGACTCCGCTGGCGGGCAAAGTCTTCATGGAACGCACTCACAACGCTTCCCCTTCCATCCGCATGCCCAAGCGCCATCCGCGTGTCAGCGAGCTGTCGGGTCACGCACCATACCAGGCGGCTCACAAGAAGGCCAGGACTTCGGGAGTTCCAGAGACAGAGATTGCGTTCGACCCGCGATCGCCGAGCCGCATCAGCCGGACTCCGCTTCGCTCAACTGCCGCTCCAACATTCGATCCGAGGTCACCTCGCATGGTGGCTCGCACCCCTCTCGCTCATCAGCAGCAACAGAAGCACTACTCTGCAATGATGCAGACCGCGGCAATGGTGCCGCAGCAAATCTTGGTTCTCGAAGAGCCGTTGGACTCGTCGTTCGCCGCCCCTGCGCAAGACGAGCCCTGGGAGGATGTCGAGGAGAGTGAAGAAGACGAAAACGCTACACCCGCCCAAGAGGTTGCATCTGACGACTCGAACAAGGCCTTCCACGGCGCGTTCACTTCGCAAACCTCGATCAAGTACGCGTCGGGCGCCCATCGCCGCTTGCTGATGCCAAGCGAGCGCAATTCCAGCCGCAATCCCTTTCCGTCTCCGATGCGCATGAACTCGCTGCCTGGGTTCAACACCCCCATTTTGCGCAAGCAAATGCTCGTTCGTCAGGCACAGCGCCGCGTGACTCCCGTCTCTGTCGTTCTTTCGGAAGACACTGCACAGGAGGATTCCGACGCCGAGTGGCAGGATGTTCCCGCTTCAGAGGCGGTCGAAACCCCTGCGACCGAGCTTGGCAACTCGCTCAATGAAAGCATGCTCGTCATGGTCGACGCCAGCTCGCCTTCGCGGCAGATCAGCGGGGCTTTCTCAACACCCATGGACACAACCACAGGCATGGACTTGGCCACCACCGTCGATGACCTGAGTGGTGACGAGGAGGAGCAGGACGACGACAACATGCCTTCTCCCATTTCCAAGCCAAGCAAGCGCAAGAGCTCTCTGGACGCCTTTGACATTCACGCCGAGCTGGACGCTGCGGTGAGCGCAATGAAAAAGCAAGAGCTGTCGCGCCCCGTGTCTGTCGACTTGACGCTGACGGAAAAGCCCAACAAGCGCAAGTCTGCCCTTGCGCTCCCCATGCTCGCCGACATGTCTGTCATGCAGGCTCGCGCGCCGACTCGCTTTAGCACACCTCAGCTCTCGCCTGCTCGTAAGCGCGCATCTGCCGGCCCGCAATGGCAAGCGAACAGCGCTGCTCGCCAGCCGCTAGGACTTGCCACGCAGAATCAGACCGCTGGTGGCCTTTTCGGCGCCGTGGTCAACACCAAACACATGCGGACACCCCCGTCCAAGCGTCAGTCACAGCTCTTCACAGGTGTCAAGGCTGGCGCTGAGAACGCCTTCTCGTTCAGCCCCGCCCAAAAGCGCCTGTTTTCCAGCGTTGCTCCTTCTCCTTTGCGTGACAGCGGGTATGGCGGCAGCATGGAGGCTTCTTCTGTGATGTGAGCTGTCCTTCATCTCGCGCATGTCGTTCTTGTTGATAATTTTGGTCGAGTCGATGCTACGTTCCCTTCTTCTGTTTTCTATCTCGCCATTTCTGTTGAATATCCCCCCACCCCTCCTGCATCCTTCTGCAATGCAAGCTTGCCTGCTGTGCAGAAGTTACTCTCGTTGTTGTTGTCGTTGGTGTTGTTGTTGTTGTTGTTGATTGTTCGAAATGCTCAAAAGTTCCCTCTTGAAAATGCACTTCAAAACAACTTTCATCCTGTTCTCAGAATCTCACCCCCTGTTTGTTTCTCAGACTTTTTTTCTTCTTATTTTCTAAAACCAGCCACTCCATTTGCTCGTCCCGAATGGAACAACAAGAGACTCAGACCGACGATCAAGCGGACGCCAGGTCACACGAGGATCCCGCGCCGGACGACGCCGCAGCGCACCAAGCAGACGACGAAGACATGCAACCTGCTGCTGCTGCTGCATCAGCCCCTGCACGTAAGCGAGGCCGGCCGCCAAAGAAGCGACGCGGTGGGACTGGCGTGGACGGATCTGCCGCTCCTTCTGCTGAGCCTGGTCCAGCCAGAGCAGCGTCGATCTCGGCCGTGCGATCACGCGCGGCAGCTGCGGCAACGACCGCTGAAGCGACTGGAAGTGGCAGCGCGGCGGACGTGTCGCCCGAGTTCAAGGACTTGCGCGCGCTGCTGGCGCATGCAGAGCGACTCGCTGCGTCTGTGACAAACACGGCGGGACTTGTGGCGAACGAGTCCATCCTGCTGCGGGAATACGTGACAGAGCGCGATGCGTTGCTTGAAGAACGGGCGTCGCGGCTGCGAGACGTTGCCGAGATCACCGAGGACTATGAAGCAATCAACGCTGGATTGCAGCAGCTCGTGGACGAGCGCGACCAGCTGCGCGCAGAGATCAACCGTCTTCAGACACACATCTACACGCCGCTCAAGGACCGCATCGATCAAGTCCGGCTGCAGGCTGGCATGGCCAAGCTGCCAACCTTGCAGGACGAGCACGATGCTCGCGTGAGTGAATATCTGCAGCAGCGACGTTCTGGTGCGATTCTATAGCCATGGCTAGTAGGGTATCTTCAAGAGCCTGCTTTTTCGGAGGCGGGGAGGGGAAAAGGCCGTGGATGAGCGGCGAACAGCGTTGGGTCAAGGCTTTGTGCGAGCCAAAAGTTCAACAACGGAATTTCTTGCCTACCTTGTCCACTCGTGGTCGTCAGAAAGTTGTTCAGTGGAACTTGGCATCAGCTTGTGTGTGCTCTGTCCTTGTTGCTCTGTCTGTGGCGAATCGTTGACTCGTTTCGTTCAACGTAGTTTTTGTCTGCCCTGTCCGCTCGCCCCCTCCCCTCCCCTCTGACGACGGGTCTGTTTTCTCTTCTTGTGTTCTTAACCGTGCTGTATCTTATTAACCTTCTAATATCATATTTATTGCTATTCCATCGTACAGTATCCGTTCACCGAATACGCCCTTCATCACCCGCCTTTCTCTGTCTTTGTTCTTGTTTTCTTTCAATCTTATCCTGCTTGTCTTCTTTCAATCTCTTCCTTCTTTTGTTGCCTTTTGTTCTTGTTCGTTATTGTGACTTTACTGCTTCCAACAAAATAGAATCAACAAAAAAGCAAAAAAGTCGCGTCACGCCATTGTTTTTTTTTGTTTTTTTGTTTTTTCTTCCTTCTTCTTTCTCTCTTCGCCTTTTCCGCTTATTCTTTCCATTTCGTGCTCCGTTTTTCGCGTCCAAGTCCGTTTTTTTTTTGTTTCCAAACACTTTATCTCATTCTATCCCTCTTCATCTCTCATCTCTCGTCTTCTCGTCTCTCGTCTTCTCGTCTTCTCGTCTTCTCGTCTGGAACAACTGCCCCCCTTCGCACGTGGAAGATTCGCATCCCCCAACATTTTTCCACTCTCTCTTTTTTCCACTTCTGATCGTCGTCTCGCCATTTCACACCACAGAACTCCATCCATCATCATCATCATCATCATAGTCATCATCATCATCATAGTCATCATCATCATCATCATCATCATCATCCTAGCTTTTCTGAGGTTTGCTCGCTCTTTCTCTGTTTTCTCACTCGCCACGTCACTGCCAACGCTTCAGTGCCGCTCTTTTTCCCTTCGTTTCCCATCTCCCTTCATCTCCCTCACTCCACTCACTCGCTCCTCCATCCCACTCACTCCACTCACTCAGAGTTCACCTTCATCATCATCATCATCGTCTCGTCAATCACTCGTCGTGTTGCATCGTGTGTTATCATCCCACTTTTTTTTTTTTTTTTTTTTTTTTTTTGGGAAACGGAGGTGGGAAATTTTGCACATCCCAACAAAACCATACCCCTTCAGCACCCGTTTAGTTCACTCTTCGTATCCCATTCCATTCTAAATCCGCACTTTACCCTTACTCTCTGCTCACTAACTTTGTTCATTTTGTTTCACTCCTCCTTTTCCATCCCACTGCCCCTCTCCACCCAACAGCGCCCCCCCCTAACCCCTTGTTTTTTTCATTAATCACCAACCCTCTTCTTCCCCATAATCCCCCCTAACCCTAACTCCCCCTTTCACCCGTTTTTCGCATGACCAAGAGCAAGACGTCCACGCGGCTGATGAGCGGA